GCTAAATTTGAAGCGCTAATAGGCATATCGCTGGGCACCCCCCCCCCTTCCTCCCGTGCAGGTCCATAGGCAGAGCCCACCTACCCTCTTACACATACATTTTCGAGCCACTTGTTTGTTGTTGTTGTTGCTTTCAAATCCCTTTAGCTGTGAGCATTTCGCTCTTGGCAACGTAATGCCTAGAGGCATTTCATTGGTTTGGGGGTTGTAATGGCTTGTATGCATCCTTGTAGGATCTCAGGTAGGTGGTAGCCATATCCTGACACTGGCTTGTGCCCAAACATCTTGCCTCAAGAGAACAGAGGTGCAATTTTCCATTAACCTTCACGTGGATTTCTTAAAGAGGAGACAATTATAGGGGGGTGTAGGCACTCTCTAGTTCTGAGATATGGGAGCCACAAAGTGCAATCAATGACAAGAGACCGTCTGAGCAGTCCAGTAAGGGGTCCCACTGAGCAAGGGGTAACGCGTTCCTTCCACAGTAAGCCGTCTACATCACCAAGCGTAGCTTGCGTTTTCCCAATCTCTGTCACCTGCTGTCTCCTGGCTATCTGCTGTTAACATTTCTGTTCATGGAGCAGAATAATCTAAGGGATGGCCAAATCTACAAGTTGTTCATTTGGTGTAGTCCAGACTATAGTTATTTCCCCATCATTTGGGTCCTTGAAAAACGACTGGTGCTGTGTAAACAGTCACATTACTTCTCTCTCGAGAGCGTTTTCTACACTAGTCTTGTCAAATTGTTACATTTCTTACATGAAAGTTTGGCTCCGATTGCAATGATCTGACTAAATTGACACCATAATACTATAAATTCCTGTAGTCGTGCTGGACGAATTTTACAGATATGGAAATTAAAAATAAACTCTCTTCCAAAGAGGATACATCAAAGAAATTTCATGGATCCCAAACCTTGATTCCAAATAAAACAGAATTAAATCAAACTGTTGACAACATGAGCTTGAACAACACATCTGATCTGGACATTGGCGACAGTGATGTATATTTAATATTTTGGCCTGATTCAAGCGTCCCATCTCATGAGATGAAGGAAAACGAATGGCGCTTACAGAATTTAAGTTGAGAAATGGGATATGGAAAATAGGATACGGTACATGAGAAACAAGAGGTGAGAGATAGGATACAGAAGGTATGATTCGGAAGATGGGACTTGTCATATGTGATCCGCGCAATTTGCCGATCGGTTTAATCTTAAAGCACCTTTAACCGATCGTATAATCGGGCAGCAATCTTAAGACTGCGCTGCTCATTTTAACGATCGTATATTTGTATCATTCTTGTGAGCTCTTCAATTTCATATCTTAATTTTCACATTTCTACACTTTTGAAAATATACGTGGATGTTCCTTGATGTGAGTAAAAGAATAAAGATGAAAGTAAAAAAAAAGTCATTAAAAAGAACTTTGAGTTTGATACCTGGCATTGTATCATTCTTGTGGGCTCTTCAGTTTCATGCGTTAATTTAAATTTATATTTTAATATTTTTACGCTTTTGAAAATATATGAATGTTTCTTGATCTGAGTAAAAGAACAAATATGGAAGTGAAGTTTTTGAAAATGATTGAAAAAATATGAAATAAATTACATGTACTTTGTGAACTTTAAGTGTGTTACCTGGTATTGTATCATTCTTGGGAGCTCTTCAACAATATAAAATATTAACGCAGTCTTCAGATTTCCGAGCAACTGTACGATCGTTAAAACGCGCAGCGCAATCTTGAGATTGTCGCGCAATTATACGATCGTCAAAACGCGAAGCAGATTGCGCCGATCGCTAAATTGCGCGGAACATGTATTGCACCGGGTCAGTCTGTGAACCGACACAGAGAGAAAATGACAGGAATCAATAATTATTATTATAATAACAAATCTCTCTCTCTCTCTCTCTCTCTCTCTCTCTCTCTCTCTCTCTCTCTCTCTCTCTCTCTT